AACCAAAATGGCCCCCCCCCCGCTGGAATTATTTCTGCCTTTTTTTTTTATTCCATATACTTACCTTTTGCAGAAGTCTTTAGGCCAGTCGCATGATGCGCAGGGTCCTTATTCCTCTTTGGATCTTCTCCTGGCGATGGGCGGTCCTCCAAAATAGAAAGGGCAGCGCTGAAGTGATACCATCAGCGCTCCACATCATTACACCGCACCGCCAACAGAGGACAACTTGCAGCTCTGGCTGGCACAGCGCTGGAGTCATGGTAAATACCGCAGCCAAATCCGTCTTTATTTTTCCTGAGAGACCTTATATAATAGAAAGATAAAATAGCCGGAGTTGGGCTTTAAAAGAGAAATGCTTGCCACTCCTGCATACTTAATTCTTCCCCCCGTCTCCCCGAATGGAGGCATCCCCCTTCCCGGGGAATTCTGGGAAATTGAATTGAACATTTAATCATTTCAAATCACAATGTGAAAAGATTTTTATCTCCTTGTCCAAGTGTTTCAATCAGTAATAAAAAAAAACAAAAAAAATGGAAAAGGATGATAAATCTCTTGCGCGGCGTGCTGCAGAACATCACGTTCCTTCCACAGGCTGTTCTGCTTGGTGTTAATAAATTTTGGAGATTTGGCGCACCGCAAGCAGGGGCCCCTCGTGTTTGGCGAGAGCGTATATTAATCCGATACGGAGAGGAGATATTGGCCGCTACCAAGATTGCCCTGCGTTACAGAAATCGGAGAAGAAAATTAGATTTTCGAGTAAAGGGAGTTTGTGGCGTCCATTACGGGCCGCCATCCATCTTGTCTGTAATGTTGGAAGAGGAAGACAAGTAACACCCGCGAGGGTTAAAAAAAAACCTTAATCCTGATAATAGATGCAGCAATCCAGAAATATACTAATTCCAGATCACAGCCTGTTCACTGCAGACAAAACAGATGAGACAGGAATCTAAATATAAACAGATATTGATATACTTTATGTGTGTGTGTGTGTGTGTGTGTGTGTGTGTGTGTGTGTGCGCGCGCACACACACCACACACATACACACGTCCTATAAACTTTCACACATTTTCATAATTTAAAGTCGTTTTACAATCATTACAAATCTGCAGTTTTTATTATGATATTTCCTGGTGATCCTGCCATTAGGGTCCTTGTTGGGGCACTTCCTGTCATAGAATGACGACGCTCTATCCTTGTTCGGGCACTTCCTGTTATCGGATGCTAAAGCTCTGTCCTTGCCCAGACACTTCCTGTTATAGGATGATAAAGCTCTGTCCTTGTTCAGGCACTTGCTGTTATAGGATGATAAAGCTCTGTCCTTGTTCAGGCACTTCCTGTTATATAAAGAGGAAGCTCTGCCCTTGTCCAGACTCGTCCTGCTATAGGGTGGCAAGGCTCTGTACTTGTCCATATACTTCCTGTTATGGGGTGACAAGGCTCTGTCCTTGCCCAGACACTTCCAGCTATGGGGTGACAAGGCTCTGTCCTTGTCCAGACACTTCCTGCTATAGGGTAAAACCTGTCTGTCCCCGTCTCCCAATTCTGCTCCTGCTCTTTCCCACAACATCAGAGTTTTGCAATGCCTTATGGGAATTGTAGTTCTGAGGCCGAGGTTGCCTTCACCTGGTAAAATACTCAAATTCTGCCCTGGCATCCAACAGCTTCCCAGTCACAAAAGGAACAGTGGCTGGCCCCAGAGCCAAAGACAATGGTCAGATGTCTCCTCATTCTTGGTGAGACACGGCGCCGCAGCAGTGCCACACAGCACCGAACTGCCACATGAGCAGCCATAACTTCATATATCTGCCCTAAATTCTTCAATTGGAAAATAAAAAAAAATAAAAAAAAGACAAATTCTCCCATCCAGTAACAATCACAAGAAAAGGCAGCGCAGGAACATCAGACTCCATACAGTGACTCCTCCAGACAGAGGATACAGGAGACAAATCACACTCTGTTCTGCGTAGTTGCTGACTCTTAATAAGACTCTAATGAGCACTGCCTTATTACCATTCTCACAGGGCTTCATGGCCTGCCGGTCCTCGTGAAAGGAGGATTAGAGGCTTAATACACTCTGCTAGAGACCGGCGCATGAGGAAGATGGCAATTCAGCTTTAACTTCTTGAGTTCTGAACTAGAAAAAGACAAAAGAGTTTGGGATGCCCAGAGATCCCACCACACGGATATCAGATCCAGGATCCTTCCTTCGAATTGGTGCAGAAGACAACGTCTACGGTAAATAGAACAGAGAACTGACGCTATAACAGGCAATAAGTGTTCAGAATATGTCAAAGGTATTTGCAATAAAGGAAGAAAAATTTAAGAAAAAGCACTCATTAATATGCTCCTTACCTACACTCCATGGCTTCTGGTTATGGGGGAGCACATGACCTCCTCAAGGATCCAGGACA